TCTTTGCCATCTCTGGACTCAATTCATCTGAAAATTAATAAAGTGAACTAACTCAATGATTTTTCAGGTCATTTTCTTCTGTAGCACTCATGAAGTTTACAAACACAAGATTTTCCAAGGGCCATACTGGAGTTATCTAAGTTCTCAGTGACCCAAGTTTAATTCCATCCCTTTATTTCCTTCTCAAAAAAGGCCTATGAGGGACCAGCAGTTAGTGTAATGGCTATGTCGCTGGACTCCCACGTAGTCGACTGGGGTTCTCGTCCCAGATCCAGTGGCTTAAAACTCACGCCGGGCACGTGTTCATGCATGCCCAAGATCCCGAGAGGAGAATGGAGGAGAAGGGATTGTGGCGTGGCCATCTCCCCTGGGGGATGATTTCTCGCTGTCTATCTCTCTCTCTCTCTCTCTGTCTGGCGATCGCACGCGCCCTATAGCAAAAACCTCTAAAAAAAAAATTTTAAAATTTAAAAAAGGCCTATGAGAATCTATGAAAGAGAGAGTAATTTTATTTTCACAAAAACCTTGAACTCACCCCATTGATGTGAAAAAATAAACACAAAATATTTCCAAATTTATTTACTTTATCATTAATAACAACAATCATAATTTGTTAACATTTACTTAAAACTTTCCTTGCTATTGCCACATATCCACATGTGGTATAAATTATTACTGATAACTGAGTAGGTGTTTCTAAGACACCTTAGGTCATTAATAGTCAGGGCCAGCAGGTCCTATAGTGGTTAAGGTTTCTGGATTGCTGATCCTAAAACAAGTCCTAAACCCTGTGGCTTGAAATTCACTCCAGGCGAATGTGTGTGTGTGTGTGTGTGTGTGTGTGTGTGTGTGTGTGTGTGTGTGTGCTCAAAATCCCAAGAAGAGAAAGCAGAAGAAGGGATTGCAGTGTGGCCATCCCACCTGGGAGGTTACTTCTTACTTTCTCTCTTTCTGTCTCTCTGGCAAGTGCACACATGCTATGGCAAAAAAAAAAAAACAACAAAAATATCTTTCTTTAGGGAACCAGCAGTTAGTGTAATGGCTATGTCGCTGGACTCCCACGTAGTCGACCGCGGTTCGTGTCTCGGATCCGGTGGCTTAAATCTCACGCCGGGCACGTGTGCGTGCGTGCCCAGGATCCCGAGAGGAGAATGGAGGAGAAGGGATTGCAGCGTGACCATCCCCCCTGGGGGGCGATTTCTCGCTTTCTGTCTCTATGTCTCTGTCTGTCTGGCGAGCGCACGCACCCTATAGCGAAAACTTCTCCAAAAAAAAAAATATATATATATCTCTTTAAAACAAAATCATTAATAGTCAAAATTGTGAATCTCCTCATCTGAAAGTTGAAAACTTCAGATGAGGGCTAGCTTTGTGCAGACCTACCATCAAAGGGCTGGAAACTCAAAACTGTTGAAAATCTATAACTTTTTTTAAAAGCATTTTTCCCATAGGACATGTGCATTAGCATGAGAGAGACAGTGAGAGGGAAAGTGAGAAATCACCCCTGAAGGAGGATGGTCATGCTGCCATCCCTTCTTCTCCATTCTCCTCCTGGGATTTTGGGCATGCATGCACACATGCCTGGCATGATTATCAAGCCACCAGGTCTGGGACTCAAACTGTGGTTGACCTTATGGGAGTCCATCACCTTAGCCACCAGGCCACCTGCTGGTTCCTCTGTAGCTTCTTTTATCTGATCATTAAATTACTAAAAATAGCAAACTAGTAAAATAAATTTAACCATTGGTCAAGGGAAATATCATGACCCCATTCCGTTCCTGGCTCCATGTCTGGTATGGTTTTCCAAAGTCAAGATAATATATTTTTAAAAAGGTATTTAGTTTAAGTTTTGACATAAAATGTGAACAACAAAAAAAGCACTCTTTTCTCTCTTCTATGCAAGAGCATGGGTGGCCTATAATCGCTTTGTCTGTGTGCTCACATGTTTATGGATGGGTACGTGTATGAAGAGAACATAATGAGTTATGAGCCCTTATAGAGGTCTGGAATGAAACATCTAAAAACCAGTCAACCCCTGCTCTAATCCATAACCTCCACAGCACTGGATGGCTAAATTCAATATTCTCTGAAGAAATTTCTATTTGTGAGATGAAATTGAACTGCACTTACAAATTGGTCTTCTCTGATAGAGTTTTTTTTAGTGGTTTCTTTAAAAACTCTAAGTGGTTTCCCTGATAGGCAACCAATCATAGGACACTCTCTATTATCCAAACAGCCAGGCTCTAGAACCTTGTTTGGCAGATGGAAAGCCAGTGAATTCGGTGTTTTCAGTAGTCTTGGTGTCTGAGCCTATTGATTTTGTAAAAAAATATTAATAATTGACTAAAAATGATTGATTCAGAGGGCCTGCTTGAATGGCCTCAGCCTCACTTAAGCTTTTATTTTATCTTGTCCATGGCAAGGTTATTGCACACTTCAAAACTCTGCAGTCTTTGTTTTCTGGCACTGCCAAACACTAACCACATATTGGGTCATTCTGATGACCCAGTATTTCCTATAACTCTCAGTGGTAAACTCATGTGGTATGTCATGTAATAAGGACCCTCCACCTTCCCTAACAGATATGGAAAAAAGGAAGTCTCTCTGAAAGCCTGAAAGATCAAAGTAAAAAATTAACACAGACAGAGTTGACAGGGAGATTTTTCTCTATTGTTGAGGGGTTTGTTGAAGGTTGTAGGTCTTACTGGAGATCAGTAATTTAAAATCCACCTGGCTGGCAAGCAGCCTGGCTAACTCAAAGTAGGAAAGAAAAATACCCATGCCACATGAGAATACCATGTTGAAAACATTTCAACGTTATCTCATTTTTTAAGAGACTCATGCAATTAAGTTTTAATAAACATGGGTGACTCAAGTTTTTATACTTTCAAATAGCAAGTATAGATTTGGGCTGATTTAGCCATACTTTTGTCCATTTCCCCCATTCACTGTGAGTGGTAGCTAGCCAGGATTTTCAGAAATGTAGCTTGACTGGATAAGCATGGTAAAATATTAGTAAATATTTTTAAAAGCCCAACTCTTTGGAAGAGGCTTTACTTGCAAAATTTAGCCTGTAATGATTGCAAAAAATTAGTTATCACTATAATGTCTAAGGAAGAGTATATATTTAAGTTTCAAGCTTTGGTCATTCACTTAGTTGAGTATTTACAACACAATGATGATTCTTCATTAAAAACCATGGAATATGGGCCAGCAGGTTGCATGGAGGTTGTGGCACTGGATCCCACATGACTGACTGTTGTTTGAGTTCTGGATGGACCTGGCAGCTTGAAAAACATTTTGGGCATGTGTGTGCCCAAAATCCTGAAAGGAGAAAGGATTGTGGCATAGCCATCCCCCCTGGGAATTTCTCACTTTCTCCCTCTCTCTCTGTCTCTCTCTGGTAAGCATGTATCCTATAGAAAAATCTAAAAACAAAACAAAATAAAAAAAAACAGAAACATAAACAAACAAAAACTATGAAATAAAATTTTATCACACTTTAATTCAGTTGGATGGAAAATAAAATAATAATGAACATTGGTCTCTCACTTTATAGGTTTTGCACACATTAACTCATTATTACTAGACTAACTTTATATGACTCAAATGAAGTGTCTTATAATCTTATTTACCACTATTCTCTCCAAAACCTTGCATAGGGCATGACGCAAAGTAGGTGTTTAATAAATATTTGTTGAATTAATTATTAAGCCACCTATAGTGTAGCCAGAGTAGGTGTTATACTTTTTACCATTTTATGGGTGAATCAACATTGCAGTAAAGTTTAGTCATTTTCTCAAGGTCGTATAACCAGCAGGGGGTGATGTCAGACCTTGAACCTAGTTGTTTAACCTCTAAAACTTGAGCTTTTCTCCAAATTCTTGAGTTATATGGTCTAACTCTGCATTGATTGGTACAGCACATAATGTCCCTGGACTTAATTTACCTTATCTGTAGAATAAGATAAGGTACTCCATGACTCTGAAGTCCCATCTGAGTCTAATACTATGGGCTTAATTTACAATATAATTTACATTATTGTGATTTCTGAGAGTCTTATATTCACCAGAGAAGTGATGCTTATGGTGGAACCCAGAGAACCTACAGCTATCAGGTGGTCCAGAGAAGAGAGGCCCAGGACCACTGTCATGGTCCACTTCTAATAGTGGGAGAAAATATCAAACAAAAAGCTTTTTCTTTTAGAAAAAGGACGGTTGTTTGGAGGTTAGTTTAAGTCGTAAAGAGGTTCTGAGGAAATTCTTTCTGTTAACATGCAACTATTTTAGAAGCTTTCTGGCAGTGATGTCTACACCTGATGATCTTGCATACCCAGCTAACTCATCTCTCCTGTCCCCTTCCCTTTCCCCACTGACACAGTCCATGCCATCTTCAACCACAGATCAATAACTATAAGAAGGATGTAAGCTTTCATAATGAATTTATTGGAGACATGTCACCAAGAATCTCAGAGATAGATTTTTCAATTTTGGATTTTGTAAAACAAACAAAGTGACATAAAACCATTATCCTATCGCATAAAGGTTCCTTTGCAGCAGCTTTGTAAACATTTACCTAGTTGCTGTTTGGAGTCTATTTTTTTTTTAAAGGAATCGATTAGTCCCAACACCCTAGAGTGATATATTGTTTTCCAGCAAACCCAAATACAAGCTGAAGGCCCCGTGTAAATTAGTTTCTCTAATTTTTCTCAGCCAGTTGCTCATTTAGAATGTACACAAACATTGTGGAAGATGTCAAGAATATTTAATCTGCTATACCTGCTGAAGTTAGCTTTCCCCATAGTGCATGATGATATCTGATTACAGAAGGACTGAGAAATGAAAACTCAGCTGGGATTAGAGACAGCTGTTTTAAATAAGAGTAGTGTGGCACTGCACTGTGCAGAAAGAGGCCTTTTGGGACTATACTCCTCTGCAGAGTAACATTTCGTTTATCACCATGGTTCCTAAATCAGACCCAAATCTCTGGCCGTTACTTACCGAAAATTTCGAACCACGACATGATGACCGTTCCTGAGAGCTGCATTATTCAACAGGATCCTCAAATTAAAAAGCATCTTCTTTTGATAGTGAAAAGGATGAGTCTATGCTCTTGAAAACCTCACTCCAAGTGAGCTAATGTGAGCCACCTAAAAGCCCAGTGTGCTTTCAGTTGCAGTTGAGGGAGCAAAGGTAATATCACCCTTCAACAGACTACGTTATCAGATACCCCTGGTTAGATATAATACAGGGCAGGGTGCAGAAGCATTTGAACTTTACGCCAAGCTCCCCCCCCCTTTTTTTTTTTTTTTAAGCAGGAATCACGACTCTTTAGGTGTTCAGCCTCCTCCTCTTTCAGAATATATTTATGCTGTCAAGTGCTTGCACAAAATCAATTGACAAGTATTCACTGGGTGTAAAATAAATGTGAGGCACTGCAGTGCAGGCTGCTGTGAAGGTACATAGAAATAACTCATTCAGAAAATGTGAATTGGCAGTGCAAAGCCCCAGATGTAGATGGGACAGCCCTGAATATTTCCACTGATTTCACTTTCCTATCTCTAAGTTCCAGCCTTCTCACAAAAATAAACAGAATGAAGTGCCCTAGAAGCTATTTTGTTGGTGGCAGGAAGCTACAGAGGAGATAGAGGTACAGTAAAAGGGACTCAGTCCTGGAGCTCCCATTGTGCCTTGCATGGAGTTAATCTTCAATATATAAATGATTGCCTATTGATTCTAGCAGGAGCCCACAGTCAATAAAGTGAGGAGGGTACCATATGCTCCTCCCCTGGGCAGCCTCTCCTGATCACTAAGGGGCCATCTGCAGCTACACATTCATTCATTTATTCACAGTTGCATGTTTCCAAAGTCTATTTCATTTCAGATACTGGGCTAGACTGGAATTTCAGAGAAGGAAAATGATCTCACCTTTGCAAAGTTTACAGTTCAGTAAGGGTGATAAGATTTGTAAATAAATATCTATAATACAAGCCCATAAGAAAGGTTCAGATAAAGTGGTCCTGCATCATAGAAAAAGGGAATGCTCTAAGCTAGGAAGGGTAGGGCAGCAGAAGAGGAAAGAAAGTAATAGGGTCTGCCTTTTCTGGTAGATTTATATGATGTTATCGAACTTAGGTGAACACTTGCTAGAAGTTTGTGGAATAAAATAAATAAATTTTTAAAAGCGTCATTTAAAAGACATTACAACTCTGCCACTTCAGGCTGTAATGTTGTAATTAATATTAGCAGGATGGTAAATCTTGACCCCATTTTCTTCTTACAGAAAATGATGTGGAGTGAAGAGAGGCAAAGACTAAATATTTCTTTTTTTTTTTTTTTTTTTTTAGGGCACATATGCTCACCAGAAAGACTGAGAGAGACAGAGAGACAGAAAGTGAGAAATAATAACCCTCCAGGGGGGATGGCCATGTCACAATCCTTTCTCCTCCATTCTCCTCTCGGGATCTTGGGCACCCACGCACATGCACCCAGCGTGAGTTTAAGCCACCAGGTCCAAGACTCAAACCACGGTCGACTATATGAAAGTTCAGTGACATAGCCATTACGCTAACTGCTGGTCCCAGACTAAAATTTTCAAACCTCTGCCATATCTTCTGTTCTGGAAAGAATATTCTAAGCAGAAGCAACTTTTTGCAAAGGCACAAAAGTGAGAAGGTAGAGAGGGAATGTGCCAAATAGAATAGACTGCTGCTTTGTTTGAAAAGACAGTGAAGGATTTTTGAGGAGCTAAACAGGGCCAGCTGTTGGATAGGTTTCAGAGAATGAAATTGTTCCATGTAATATAGGGAGAAAAACTGAATGTTTCCATGGAGCCTGACAGAAAAAAGGCCAAACCACATGCTAATATAAAGCCCATATCTTCACCCCTTATCTTGAGTAAATAGGCTGAGCACACAAATAACTCTAGAGTGATGCTTGTGGAGAAATTCAGAAGTGTCTGAAGTTCAGTATTAGAGATCACTGGCAGCGCTTCTAAGATGTCAAATGACCCACAAGCCTTCTTAATCCTATGAAAGTAGAAGCCCAAAGCCAGAGAGGATTAAGAAAAAGAAAAGCTACCCATAACCCCTAGAGAGATTGAAAGACAGAAGCTGCACTACAAGTGATTTGTCGAGGGGTAGACGACTACTCTACTTCTGCTGATTGGGTCACGTGTGGACCTTGATTATCTTATAGGCTTTGTTGTTAATCCTCAAAAATCATCCAGGTGCTCTTGTTGACCCCTCTATGATTCTTAATTCAGTTTCGACTGCCTTGTTTGGCTCTCTACATTTCTCCTTTTGTTCATCCAGCTTTCCATTTACTCATTTTTCTCTGCTACCAACAATCGGGTAGCCACCATGGGCCAGGTCTCTGTAATGGATGGGCTCTGAGGGATATAGTGATAAACAGAAGTGATTAGTCCCTTCTCACATGGAGTTTATAATTTGGAATAACTCTAGAGTACAACTTCTGTTTCTACCCTCTGACCCCATACATCCTAACAAAGAGTAAATGGCCTTTTACTCTGCCCTAGATTGGCTTGATCCCTATTCAGTTTCCATTATCAGGGGGTGAGGATTAGATAGGGTTCCGGAAGGAGGTGGCACTGCTCTTTGATGAATTGCAAGAATTTGAGAATAATCAAAACTGGAGGAAGCTACAAAGGATAGCAAAGAAAGGAACCTGTGGGTTGACCAGAGGAAGGAAAAAATAAAGCATGTGGGATAACAAGAAATGACTCTCAGTGATGGGGATCCACCCTATCATTGATCACTTAAATGAGACTCCACCACCACCGAGCACTCTACGCAAAACATAAAACTGTGAATGCCTGGGTTCTGTTTGCATCTCCTTGGCTTTCAGTTTTCCCTTATATACATGCCATGTCTTAATGCGAGCTCCCATAGCTGTCTTCTTGAGGATGAATTCATATTTCTCACCCCTTATGTGGACCACTATGAGGCACTCCTCCTGAGGTCCCCAGTGGGACTGAACCTCAATTACCCACAGTAGTAGCCTGCTTGTTTTAGCTGCCTTCCCTTTCTTGTCTCACGTCCCTTACTACCTTATCTGTGATTCCTGCAATCACCTCCCAAATAAACTACTTGAACTTCAAAATGCCATTCTCAGTGTCTACTTCTGTGGGAAATCAACCTTTGCCCAGGTTTACTTACCCAACAGTTTTTCAACACTCAGCTTTTTGTTCTCTTCACCTAGGCCTTCTGTCTTTGACTAGATACCAGGGTTTTTGATATTAACAACTTGTTCCCTCATACCATATTGCACCCTCACTCACAAGTGTAGTCTCTTAGCCTGCAACTTGTGGCATACTAGTAAATGTATAACAACCAGTTGCTTTAAAAAAGGAAAAATCTCTGATCTGTAACACTGTCTGATTTGTGTGGTACAAATACACCTGACATGGCCAACGTCAAGCTACTTATGTGACATCACAGAATATGGAGTTGAGAAGAGAGGTGTAATACTGGCTCTTGTAAGCCACTGTGAGCTAGCTCAAGAACACCACTGCCTTTGTCTCCTACCCAGAAAAACAGGATTGTCTCAAGGTTTGAAAATAATATATTGTAGGGACTAGCAGATAGCATAATGGCTACATCACTGGACTCCCATGTAGTCAACAGCAGTTCAAGTTCTGGACCTGGTGGCTTAAAACTCACACCGGGCGTGTGTGCATGTGTGCCCAAGATCCTGAGAGGAGAATGGAGGAGAAGGGATTGCAGTGTGGCCATCCTCTCTGGGGGGGGGGGTGATATCTCACTTTCTGTCTCTCTTTCTCTCTCTTTCTAGTGAGCACATGTGTCCTATAGCAAAAACTTTTTCAAAGAATAATAATAATAATATATTGTAGCCAGATTGCTGAGGGCCTTAAAAGCCAGCTTAAATGAAGATAAGAATCTAATCTGTAGTCAAAGTAAGATTATTAATGTTTAGGAGCTTAGGTAGACAAGAGGACATATGTCACTAACTGCATCGTATTTTGAAAACATTAAAATGGTGCCATATAGAAGAAGTGCACTGGAAAGAAGATGCAGAAAACAAAAGTTATTGTGTGATAACAAGAATCCGAACATGTACTGGGTCTTTGGAAACAGAAAATAGGGAATAGGTGGAAAAGAGACTTAGGGATTAGAGTCCATCTATCAGGACAAGTGATTAGATCTTGAAGGAATGGAGATGGAGAAATTAATGAGATTCCAGGATTTCAAGTTTATCCTATCGTGCTTGAGTCTACAATTCCAAAACTCAAATGTTGTCATTGGGAATATAAAGACCATTAGTTCCCTGACACTTTGAGTTTGTAAGCATCATGTGTATGTTGAAATATGTCTTTGAAACTTCCACTGTGCTTCCTAGTGAAATTCACACACTGAAGAGGGAATAGATGTGATATAAAGGGAAAAAAAAAAACAAAGGGAATAATGTTGGAAGATCATATGTGACCTCCGGTGATGGTGAGTTTGGCCAAGTCATTTGAGACTCAGAATACTCATTAATTCAACTAGAATTAATACTCATTAATTCATTTTTTAAGATGAATTATTACAGTGCTTGAGAAAATATAACATGCTAACCAAGCATGAGGGGAGTGTCTGAGAGCCTGGGCATAGCTGTCACCAAAAAAATATTGAAAATTTGAGCTCTGGGCAAACAAGGCACATGGATGTTACTACAGTGAGGATATTCTGATTTATTTCAGAGTATTATAGCTTATACAAATAATTTTTATTGCCTGTTGTCTTGAATCTTTAAAATGCTAAAAAACACAGTATTTGCATGTAGTACATATTTTAGTTAAGTCTTTCGAGTTCTATGGGATTGTTGTTGGTGATCTATCAATATTTTGCAGTGGATATGAACAAAAATGCTTATATCACTGTCTGATACCAGTACCAACTTGTGACCAGGAGAGTAAGTAGCTAATTTAGAAAGAAGCTGGGGTTTGCAGAGTGGAAGGAGGAAGAAATCTTACTCATATTTATGATATTGAGTTGCAAAATCAACCATCTTCATGACCCTCCTTACTACTGGACATTTATTTTTTTATTTTTATTATCATCATAATCTTCTTTATATTATACTGGATTACATATAACTTTATAGTGTATTACATTGCTTTTTCAAAAGGGAATGCCATGTATGTCAGTCAATACAGAGACATTAATCTCCCTGCTTCATCATTCAATATATTTTCTATGTTTTTCCCAA